CTCCATATATTATATACACAAGTTAAGTATAAATAGATAAACTCTATCATCAATTTAATTTAGTTCAAATGCATATTTTCTTCTATGGAATCTAATATTTCTTGATTGACTGAAATCTGAGAAATATCAATATTGTTTCCAATTTAGTGTTGACTGACTGTAATATGCACTTAAAGGTTAATTCAGATATTTTAAGTTGAGATCACATAGTAGCCAAAAAAAACTAAGAGAAATAATATAAAATATTCACCACATTAAAAAAAAAACAAAGAAATAGCTGTTCAGAAATGCCCCTGAATGTTACAATATATTTTATAGCAGATCAGGCCTGCTTCCAGATTCTAAAACTTATTTATATGAAATTTCATTTATAACACAGGATTTGTGACACAGTGTAGGCCTACTAATATTACAAAGATGTTTTTTTAATAAAGGTCACAAATCCTGTTTTATAAGGGAATTCCTTGTTACCATCAAATTGTTTTAGAGAGCTGTAAACAAGCCAGATCTCTAATGAGAGAATAAGAATTAGTACTGTCTGTAATAATTCCATTATTGTCTATAAACAATAAAATAAATTTAATTTATACTTTAACAATGTATATATAACAAAATAATAAATATAAAGTTTCTGACATTACAGCATAGTCAGGTAAAATAATTTATGGACATCTGGAACACTTAAGAATTTACTTTATTATAAGGTAGCTAGATCTGACCATGTAATAAATAAATATATCCAGTGGTTTTTCATAAATTGTCTCAATTACCATCTACCTTCAAATAAGGCAAACTGTTGATGTTATAAGATTATTTATCCCTGATGAACATACACACCTTTAACAAGCTCTGTAGAGAATTAACAATATACAATAACAGTAGCATAGAGTCCTGAGCTTTACATTTACATGAATATACAATAGAAATTAGGCGGACATTACATAAACATATTAAAATAGTCAACACAGCACCATCCTGATTTAAAGACACTTGACTATTCTTTCTACACATTCACACTTCTTATGATCATATATTGATAATGATACAGGCAGTCTGGTAGTTTGATAATGAATGAAAGAATACATTGTATATAACTTTGAGCAATATGGTATCAGAATATTGCTTATCATAGAGCATAAACTTTCTTACACCTTATGTCTATGTGATAATAAACAACATCTTGAGAATTTGTTAGAGAACTAGTCTAGATTAATCCATTTATACTGTTCTAAAATATCACTCAAACTTAAATGCTACAAAAATCCTAATTCAAAACTTGTCAATTTTTTAACGTCAATGCTATTCTATAGTGATTTAAAGAATATTTCATAGGCTTATCAAAAAATTATTGAGGAAATTTAGAAAATTATATCAAGATCTTCAGTATTCAACAAAGCTGAAGACAAAAATTGAATTGATAAAACTTGGTCATATTTTGTTCTCATATGCTAACTGGTGGTTCCAATGAAGAAAGCCTTCCAGTTAGTAAAACAGATTTGATGTGTGGTGATTGAAAATCTATTTATCTTCCACGGAATGATATTGAAACAATCTAATTAAAACTAAATTACAATTTCGTTTTATTTTTTTTTCAGTCTCCATTGTAAGCTAAGAACTTCGCATACTGTTGATGTTCATTTCCATAATATGACAAATTATGAAATTGCTGATAGTGTCAACATCAAACAACCTAGGTATGTAAAATAGAGACTGAAAAA